TCCTTCCTTCCTTTTCCTTTCTTTCTTTCTTTCTTTTCTTATTTTGACACACAGTCTCTGTCACCCAGGCTGCAGTGCACTGGTGTGATCTCACCTCACTGCAACCTCCACCTCCCAGGTTCAAGTGATTCTCCTGCCTCAGCCTCCCAAGTAGCTGGGATGACAGGCACCTGCCACCACACCCGGCTAATTTTTGTATTTTTAGTAAAGACAGGGTTTCACCACGTTGGCCAGGCTGGTCTTGAACTCCTGACCTCAGGTGATTCACCTGTCTCGGCCTCCCAAAGTGCTGAGGTGAGAGGCATGAGCCACCGCGCCCGGCCCCTCTTTCCTTCTTTATTTTCTTTTAAACTACAGGTCAGAGGCACAACCTCCTTCCAGCTACCCAATCCTGGAACGTACACAGTGCAAATAAGAGCCCGGGAAAGAGTGTATGAATTCTTGAGTGCCTGGAGCAGCCCCCAGCGCTTCGGTGAGTGGGGAGAGTGGGGTGAGCGGGGCGTGCCCCTCCTGTCTCCCTCACGGGAACCATCCTTGGTCACGGAAACACAGGCCACCCCCCGCCCGCCTGCCTCTACGGGTCACCAGTTCTTCATTGTTTCTTGGTGTTCTGCCTGCAAAGGAGAGGAGATTCACTCCCCTAGTTTGTGACCTCCAAAAGGAGCCTGAACCTGATGGTGACCTCACACCTTAATCTTAGTCACGAGAGGAGACGTGGAGGGGGAACAAGGTCATCCCACTGACAGACACCCCCTGGGCCTTGGAATAACACCGAGGCGGGCGGATCACGAGGTCAGGAGATCGAGACCATCCTGGCTAACACGGTGAAACCCCGTCTCTACTAAAAATGCAAAAAATTAGCCGGGCGTGATGGCAGGTGCCTGTAGTTCCAGCTACTCGGGAGGCTGAGGCAGGAGAATGGCGTGAACCCGGGAGGCGGAGCTTGCAGGGAGCCGAGATGGTGCCACTGCACTCCAGCCTGGGGGACAGAGCGTGACTCCGTCTCAAAAAAATCAAATCAAATAAGGCAACCGTCTGCAGGCCAGGGGTTGCTCTCTCCCATCCAGAGTGGCTGTGTCTATGGACTCTGCAGCCGGATTCAGAAAAGGATTGCTTGAGAGTAAAAGCTTCTGGCCAGGCACCATGGCTCAGGCCTGTCGTCCCAGCACTTTGGGAGTCTGAGGCGGGTGGATCACCTGAGGTCAGGAGTTCGAGACCAGCCTGGCCAACATGGTGAAACCCCGTCTCTATTAGAAATAGAAAAATTAGCTGGACGTGGTGGCAGGTGCCTGTAGTCCCAGCTATTGGGGAGGCAGAGGCAGGAGGAGAATCGCTTGAACCCAGGAGAGGGAGGTTGCAGTGAGCTGAGATCAGATCGCAGCACTGCACTGCAGCCTGGCCACAGAGCGAGACTCCTTCTCAAAAAAAAAAAAATTAATACAAAATACACAACACACACACGCAACAGAGCATGATCCTTCTCAAAAAAAAAAAAGAAATTAATACACACAAAGTGCACAACACACACACACTCCGTGATACCCAGAAAATCGAGTTCCAAGCACGCCGGTGGTGCCTCAGCTTCCCCCCGCCCCGTGCTGACCGCACCCGAAGCACCTGCCACGCTGCGAGGCACAGTGGACGCCCCGGCGCTCCCCGCGTCCCCAGCACCAGAGGCAGCCGGGGATCCACGTGTCTTTCAACTCCCTTAGGCTTCCGGGCTGGGGCTGGGAGGCCCGGATGTACCTCCTTGTTCTGGGACGCAGGGTTCCGGGCTGTGAGGGCCGGATGTCGCTCTGGGTCCTGGGACGCAGGGTTCCGGGCTGGGGCTGGGAGGTCCGGATGTCCCTCCTTGTCCGGGAACGCAGGGTTCCGGGCTGGGAGGTCCGGATGTCGTTCCGGGTCCCGGGACGCAGGGTTCCGGGATGGGAGGCCCGGATGTACCTCCTTGTCCTGGGACACAAAGTTCCGGGCTGGGGCTGGGAGGTCCGGATGTCGCTCCGGGTTCCAGGCTGGGGACCGGAAGCCCGGACGTCGCTCCGGGTCCCAGGACGCAGGGTTCCAGGCTGGGAGGTCCGGATGTCGCTCCAGGTCCCGAAACACAGAGTTCCGGGCTGTGAGGTCCGGATGTCGCTCTGGGTCCTGGGACGCAGAGTTCCGGGCTGGGGCTGGGAGGCCCGGATGTCCCTTCTTGTCCGGGAACGCAGGGTTCCGGGCTGGGAGGTCCGGATGTACCTCCTTGTCCTGGGACGCAGGGTTCCGGGCTGTGAGGTCCGGATGTCGCTCTGGGTCCTGGGACACAAAGTTCCGGGCTGGGGCTGGGAGGCCCGGA